TCACAGCTGACCAAAAAAAAGGGAGATAAATAAGAAAAAATGCTGCTTGTTTTTTCCTTAGACAATAGAGATGAGAGAAAGTAAAGCCATGTGTATGGCCACCAGCCGTCCCTTTGTTCACCGAAATAGGCATCAAGCATTTTCTATGCACCAGATGCTGTGCTAAGAGATAGATCATTGTGAGACGCAGACAGAAACCAGCCAGGCCATCAAACGCTTCCACCAGCGGGAATCGGAAAAACAAAAGCCTCCATCCCTCAGCCAGTCCGCCTGGAAAATAATCCCCCAGGCTGCCTGGGGTGAGGCGTTCGAGGTTACTTAAAGGGAAGCCCAAAGGTGTTAATTTGATAATTTAGCAGGAGGTTATTTTCCACCCCTACCCCTGTCCCCACCCCTAACAAAATCACAGGAGATTTGTTGGCGCTGACTGACCACACTCCATGGAAGAAAAAGCCTCAGAAGTGAACGTTAACACTTCAGTTCCCATTGCTGTGTTAGGTTCTCTTGGGAAAGGCTCGAAACATGGATGGTCAGTGCAGGACCCCAGCCTCTCACCTTTCTGTGGTGCCTCACAGCTTTCAAAGCATATCCATCCATCCATCCATCCATCCATCCATCCATCCAACCGATAGCTAACGGAATATCTGCCGTATGCCAGGTACCGTTCTAGAATCAGTGAACACTTCGTGCAAATTCCTACCCTCCGTGGAGATAACACTCATGTCACACTCGCATAGCACGGTGCACAGGTGCGTTAAATAAGTATGATTTTCTATATAGAGAATTACAGTTCATGTCATGGGGCCTGCATGCTCTGCCTCCACAGAACAACCAGATAGATCTTTAAACAGTGCAAGTCACTTCTTGCTTAAAATCCTCCATGGCTCCTCATGACTCTAAGAATAAAATCCAGATTCCCTCCCGTGGCCTGCAAGGCCTTGAAGGGTCTGGCTTCTCTCTGACCCCCTCTTCCGCCTCGATCTCCCCTGCTCCCCCTAATCCAGCCACCTTTGTTCTCTCTCTGCCCGTCCCCCGTGCCAAGCTTGGTCCTGCCTCAGGACCTTGGCACATCTGTTCCTGCATGTATTTCCTCCCCACCATTCGGGTTTCAGCTCACATATTACCTGCTCAGAGAGGCCTCACGCCCAGCGGTCTTCCCCCAGCACCTGGTTTATCTTTCCCATGGCTCTCTCCGCCACTGGCGATGGAAACGGACTCGGCGGATATAAGGGGTGGAGGAGGGACATGCAGGCTTCCCGGTCGGACACACTGGCCTTCTCTTCTATCCCTACCAGCCGCCTGGCGTGAGACAAGCTTCTTCANGCATGCAGACTTCCCGGTTGGACACACTGGCCTTCTCTTCTATCCCTACCAGCCGCCTGGCGTGAGACAAGCTTCTTCATCTCTGGTCCTAGGAAGATGTAAGTCATGGCCTTAAACTTCTGCTCAAGGCCTCTAAGAGTTTCCCGGTGCGGACAGAGGAAAAGCCAGGCTCCTTTCCCTGCCCTGGAAAACCAAACTCACTGTCCCATCACCTGCCTGCGTCTCCTTCCCCTCTCACTCTGCTCCAGCCACTCTGGCCCTGAGCAGCCAGACACGCTGCTGCCTCAGGCCCTTTGCACTTGCCGATGCTCTCTCTGCAATGCTCTTCTTGCCACACCGGCACGGCTCGCTTCCTCATTTAAGCCTTCAAATGCTACCATCTCCGTGAGACTTCCCCCGGTTGACAATTGCAGCCCCTCCCCTTCCTCTGCACCTGTCGCCTTCCCTCACCTGCTTTATTTTCTCCATAGCGCCCACCAGCTGGGAGCACGTTGCCTCGTTTACCTATTTGCTGGTTGGTTGTCTCTCTCTCCCTACCAGTGACAGCTCCATGAGCAAGGACTCGCGTCTCGTTTGCCACTGGCGTATCCTAGCTCCTGGGATAGGGGCTCGCGACAGGCAGGCCTGCCGAGCGAATGAGTGAGCCAGGCCCAGCCTCCCTTTTCCTCATCTGTGCAGTGGGCGGTTCGAGCCCCTTCCTGATCAGGGTTGTGAGGCTCCCCAGGTGGCATTAGGAACCCAAGGCTCAGTCACACATTAAGGGCAGCAACAGCAGCCCCCCCCCATCCCCCCGTCCTAGGGAGCATTACAGCCTGTATGCTGACACGCCCCGTCTCACCAACCCTCACGGGACTTGCCTGGAGAGCTGGGATGGACAGAGACGGCAGAGGGAACCTGGCCTCTAAGAGATTTGACATCCGTACAAAAGAGCTCAGGTTTTGAGGCAGATGGCCCTGGGTTCTAATCCAGAGTCTTTTATTACCTGAACAACCTCAAGCAAGCTCTGTAACCTTGAATTTCTATTTTTAATCTCTAAATGGGAAAAAAAATCATACGCATCCTCGATTTGTTGTGCCGGCGAAGCGAGGCGATGTGTGAAGTATGATGCATGCTCCCAGCGGGGTCCCTGGCTGGGAAGGCACCTCGTCAAATCGGGCTCCAGGAGAAACTAGTGCCCGGCCGGGGGGGTGGATGGCACCGTCCTGCCCAGCCGTCTCCTCTCTGGGTGGCTTCATCCTGCATCCGGTCGGTTTCTCTCAGCTGGAAGCTGTCAGGAAAGCTCCGATGCTGGGAAAAGGCAGTTTTTGGCCCCTAAGCTCGGCACCTTGAGCTTTTTCGCCGATGCTCAGTTCAGTTTTCTCAGGAAAAAAGAAACTTCATAAACAAAAACATACGGAGAAAACCCTGCCTCTTAAAGGCAGTCTCAGGAGGTGGAGGGAATTGGACTCTGTTCCCTGGCAGCCTAGTTTGTGTTTGGGGATCTGAGTGTTTGTTCCCAAGAGACTTGGCACAAAGGCGAGGACCCTTAGAGGACCCCTGGGGGTGGGCTAGCCCCCCGCCCTCAAACGTGACGGTGCCTTTGAGACGCGGGGCAGGAGTGGGGATGCACCTATTTGGAGGGCTCCTGAAGCACCCCCAACTTCGACCAGCATCAGAATCCATCTGCTGTCCCTCCTCAGTCCTGGGGCGCGGCACTCACCCACCAGTGACATTTTTAGAGCCGGGGGCTGTTGGGACTGGAAGGTGAGGGCGGGAGGGGACAGACATGGGAAGGGCCTGTGCCCGCTCACTTGAGGCCAAGGAGGGTGAGCCAGGGGCAAAAGGAGCCCTACTGGGCAGGTGACGGCAACCGAGCTGTGGGAAGGGTCCAGAAGCTGCGTGAGCAGCAGGGGAGGAGACCACACCTGGCTCGGGTTAGTGCTGCGGGGCCCCCCAGGGGTGTCCTGGGAGAGGGGGCTGGCCCGTCTCAACGGGCAGGGGCAGGAGTCGCCAGGCACCCCGCGTAGAGGAGACGGGGCGACGGGCGCGCCCCAAGGCAAACCCTGGTCCCTCCGCACCCCCGTGGGGGCCGCGTCAAGTCTGACCCACAGTTTGAGGGAATTTGGGGAGTATTTTTCTTAGGTGGAGAATTTGGGGTATTTTCCCCTGGTGTACAGACTGCACCTTGGTAAGTAAAAACTAATAACGAAGATGATGATGGATTAATAGTAACAATAACGTAACGGTAATAATAATCCGTGATCAAGTCGGGCAGGGCCTTGAAATTCCAAGCGTGGGTTTATTTCCTGGACAAAGAAAACACATCACTGAGCGGGTACCTCCCCCCATCTATGTTTCTCATTAAACTTGGGGTCCTAACTCCCAGAGGACGTTGCCCAGCCCCCCAGCCCTGCGTGAGAACAAAGGTGGGCGCAGGGGGGCGTGTCCGAGAGAGAGTTTATTCTGCACAGGGGCAGTGCGGACTTGAACGGAGCCGGGCCCGCGCCTCTGGCTCCTCCAGCTCCCGCCCCAGGCTCATGAGTCCGCCCCCCGAGAAACGCTGAACGCTGCGGGGTCACAGCGCAGAGGGAAGCACCGGCCACTCCCTGGAGGGGGCAGGACAGTGCCAGTGCCGACGGGGACAGGGAATGAAAAGTGGGCGGGCCCGGTAGGCTTCCCTGGGCACCACCGTCCAGATGTCGCCCTGGCTCCAAGGGGGAAGACAGTGGCCATCTAGAGAAATAAAGACATAGAGCCACACCATACGTGAGCACGTCCCTTAGGGAACCCACGCGATGACACCGGCAGCTCCGGGGACTGATTCACGATGTGCTGAGTGGAACTGGAAGCCAGATGGAAAAGTAGAAACAACCGAACACTGAGCGGGCCGGACAGATAGAGGTGACAGGATCCCACACACCAGGCTTGTTCTACAGAAAACCAGCCAGTGAGGGACGCAGGACAGTTTCTCCAGACGACGACGACCCTGGTGACCACGGTGGCAGCGAGCGGTGTGTGCCCGATGCTCACACGCAGGGCCCGATTTAACCCCGTCATGACCTGCATGGTGGCTGTTACTCCCGTTTTAAAACGAGGGAACAGACGCTCAGGCGACAACGCGTTTGCCCGAGGAGTTCCCGTCAGCACGGGCAGGGCGGCCCCGGGCACAGGCCGGTGCCAGTCCGAGCTCACTGCTGGCGCTGCAGGCTCTCCAGGCCAAGGCGGGCGCGCCCGAGCAGCCGTGGGCAGTGTGGCCTGCCTGGACCCACTGTCCCCGAGAGCACACGGTCTGTGGTGACCCGGTCCTCGTGTATCAACACGGGGCCGCGCATCAACGGCAGCCAGGGACCCTCTTCAAGACGATCCTGATGAGATGACTTCCCAGGGAACCCTGGAGGGGGCAGGAGTCAGAGTTCTGCAGCCACCTTGCTTTTGGGGACTCTGAGGACACTCTAGAGGGGTGACGGGTGGTCAGGGACTTGACCTCATGAATGGGGACCTACACCGGGGTGGGGACCTGCTGAAATTAAAACGGGGTGAGGCAGTCTTCTGTGGATGAGGGAGGTGCGTCCACAGCCTGGAGACCTCGGGGACCGGGCTGGTCTGCAGGCCCTGCCCCCTCAGAGGGTCGGAGGGACTGGCTGGGTGGGAAGGACACCCCAGGCTTGGTGTCCCGGTTGCAGACCGGTGCTTCCACAGAAGGGCAAACACATCAATGTTTATTTTCCTTTGAGCTACATTTTTGAAAGTACCGTCTAAGCAGCGAGGATGGACCGAATCACAAAGTCGTGACGGTCTAATTGCGTGGGGGGATGGGAGTCACGCCCAGCATCACAGTTAGACTGGACACATGTACACAATTTTTTAAATGTCAGATGTCCTGTGTGTCTGCTACCCAGCTGGAGTCTCCCAACAGCCGTGTGATTAGAGGTGGGTGGAGAGCTGGACCCCTTTGGCAGATGCAGAAAACTGAGGCACAGGAAGGGCAAGGCCTGTCCAAGGTCACACAGGGATCATTCCGGCAGCTGGGACCAGAACCCAGGCTCCCCAGCTCCAAGCCCAGGGCTCTGTCTGCATCCGACGTTGCCAGGGGTGAGACAGGGGTGCCGTGGCACAGAGGGTCTTTTGGTGGGCAGGGCAGAGAGGGGTGCAGCCCTGCTGGGCAGCCACCGGTGGTGGCTTAGCTGCTGCAGCTGCGGGAGCAGGCGTGGCCCAGAACGTTGTTGTTGTGCCCGTCCTGGAGCTTGTCCGGGGCCTGGCTCCCCGCGGGGCCCTCGGGGTCCAGGAGCTGGCAGCCCTGGCCCTGCTGCCTTGGCAGCCTGCAAACAAGCACAGCACAGGCCGAGTTAGGGACACGGGGACCGGGCGGAGGGACACACCTGGGCGAGCAGAGTGACTGAGGAGCCTTCGGCCCACACCATCCGCTGGCCCAGGGAAGCTTGACGCTTTGGAGCCAGGTGGGCCTGCGGTGAAAGCCCGGCTCGGGCGCACTCAGGTGAGTTAAGTGTACACACAGAGCCTCAGTTTCTCCACCTAAAGGGGGATCAGAGCCTTCTCTCAGCAGGGGGCTCAAGGGCCAGAGAGACCGTGTGTGAATATCCAGCGTGGGGCTGGAAATAACACCAATGTGGTTCTGCGTCGTCTGAAAAACACGGGGTTTGAGCTGCATGTGCTTCTGACATTAGGATGTTCCATCAGAGCGCAGACCTACGGCCTGATTTAAATGAAATCTGTGTCCCCTGTCACGTGCAGGGCACTGTGGATGGCCCCAGGTGAATACAGCGCCGTCCATGGCCTTGGACGGATCACAGCTGTGTGTGTGTGTGTGCACCATGCGGCTAGGNTGTGTGTGCGCGCGCACGACGCGGGTAGGGTGGCGATGCCTAGCGTTAGCGACAGCACCGGTATTTGAGCGAGTCCTCAGGCAATACCAGCAGCAACGCCGTGTTTTGTGACAGTGAGCCTGGGGGCTGCTGCCTCCTGCCTGTGTCCCCCTGCAGGAGGAGGGCCAGGCACAGTCCCTCCCCCCGGGGCTGGCAGCTCCCAGGCAGAGCGGCCGGGAAGGTGGTCAGGGCGCAATGCCCTCCTAGTGGTGGGGGCGCCTGGACCCGGAGGGCAGGGCTGAAGCCCAGGTGAGAGGCGGGNGAGGAAGGCGGTGCTCGAACCCCTAGACAAGGCCGCGGGGCGCCTAAGAATCTTCTCTCCAGCTCGCCCTCCCCTCCCCTCCATCCTGAGACTCGGGCACCTCCAGAGAGGAAGTCATGTCAAAACCAGGGAAATACTAAAATGCCAACGAAACCTATGAAAGCGAGAGGGAAATACTTCCAAAGTAGGACACCGCTGTCGGCTCACAACTGTGACACGGTGCAATTCTCTGGGGCTCTCGTAAGATAAAAATGAATCCCTCTAAGGTTTTCTTTCAAATGCCCCAAAGCTGGGATTTTGTGTTTAAAAATAGCGCACATGCCCAAGTGTGGTTACATTGAGCACAGCGTTGCTATCTCTAGACTCCTGTCCTCCCGTTTTAACACAAAATATAACTGAGCAAAGCTGCTCAAGAAGAGTGGAGCACAGAGATCGGGAACCCCGCGGAGGGAGGGGGGATTCTGAAATCTCATGTGGATCAGGGAAGGCTTCCTGCAGGAGGCAGCACTAGAGCTGGACTGTAGTGGTTGGTATGGGACGGGGGGAGCCGCAGGGAGGAGCGGAAGGAGGACTGACGTGAAGGGAAACCCGGGGGTAAGGCAGCGTCTACCAGTCCTCGCTGGGCCCCCTTGGGGAGGAGCACTAGCTGTTTCAAGTCTCCCCTCTGTGGGGCGTCGCATGCAGAACACGGTGGGGTGGCCGTGAGCACTGAAGGCCTGGAGCAGTGCCTAAATGAGCTGTGGGTCACGCCCCTGCACCTTACCGCCAGGCTCAGCGGGAGCCTCGGGGGCAGAATAAGAAGGGAGGACCCTGGCCCTGGCACCC